GAGAAAAAAGAGGTAGAGCTCGTGACCCCGTATCACTTAAGATCTCATTGCGCACCTGTTCGAAGGACCTCTGGGTACGGATATTGACTCCTCCAGAGAGTGTACTTGTGTTTCGTCATGAAGTACTCAACTACTAGACATAGTTCGCAACTTTTGCTTCCCTTTAACGAGAGGGCAAGCATTTAGATCGTACACATAAACTCCCGAACTACAGCGACGTCGGAGTCTGGAGTACTTCCCATGTCAGAAAATGTTCTTCGAAAAGTTACTACCCATCCCTGTGCGCATCTTTCAAACTTAAAAATGCTGGATTATCTATCGATGCTCCGGCGGAAGCGTAACCCTTGTTATGATCATTTCAAATTATTTTATCTCGAGAGACATTTACCGTTCTCATCCTCGAAGAGTTGGAAGCTTAGAATACGCGGCTTCACGGTGGAAGCCGGTTTCCCTCCCTATGGTGCTTGGCTATGGCACTTCAAAGGGGTGTCACATTCCATACCTAGTGAGTGACCACATATTATTTCCGGCTGCGGCATGTAAAACAACGAGCTTGCGCCTGTTTTGGTGTCTCAAGAACTACTTATCTGAGCGGCTCGTATTTAATTCTTGCAAAGGTTTCAATCAATTTTAACTTGGTCTTCAAACTGACAATGATACTAACAATTGTAATGTCGTTGCAGTGCAACGTTCGTAAGCAAGAAAAAACTTCACGAATCTGCTGTGACAAACGTTCATAGGACAGGCTTGAATACCGCACAAGGGGATCGAGAAACTTCGAGATTCTGTGTGATTTATGATGCTCTAAAATTCAAAGTGACATATACAAATTATTTAGCTCGCTTAAACTATATGCATGTAGTTTGTTTATCTTTCAAAATTGAACTCTATCTGTTGCCTGGATGAGCTAGCAATACTTCCATGAATCTCTCTTTTTTGGCGTGCCACTCATCTCACCCGGGCAGGATACTTCATCGTGGTTCCTTATTTTGACACTTTTGAGCTTGGCTCTAAGTCCGAGGTACAGCAACAATACACTATGTATCCCGTTACACGCCAACCTCACCCGTACCCTTTCAAATCATCGACAAACTTCGTCTCAGGTCTTGACTTTGGCATATTTGCTTTGCCTTTAGTCCTATGGAATAGTGTAATATACACGCACATAACTACGCTGAACGTATCCCGTTACGGATCCAATAGGTGAAGTTAGATTCCTAGCTGAAGGCGAACTGTAACGGGGTTACATGAGAGTGACCCGTCACTCTCCCAAGGGAGCTGTGGTGTG